TGATGATAGTGGTGATGATGATGATGATGATGATAATAGTGATGATGATGATGATGATGATAATAGTGATGATGATGTTAGTGGTGATGATGATGATGATGTTAGTGGTGATGATGATGATGATGATGTTAGTGATGATGATGATGATGATGTTAGTGATGATGATGATGATGATAGTGGTGATGATGATGATGATGTTAGTGATGATGATGATGATGATAGTGATGATGATGATAACAGTGGTGATGATGATGATGATGATAGTGGTGATGATGATGATGATGATGATGATAATAGTGATGATGATGATGATAGTGATGATGATGATGATAGTGATGATGATGATGATGATGATAGTGGTGATGATGATGATGATGATGATAATAGTGATGATGATGATAATAGTGATGATGATGATGATGATGATGTTCCAGGAGCGGCAGGAGGCAGAGAAGATGTTCAAAGGGAAACGAGGAGCTCAGCTGGCCAAAGATCTCTCCAGACGGATGAAGACGTAAGATTCTGATGAAACCARCCGATCTGGTCTCTCAGGAACTGGACCAGGTTCTGACCCGGTTCTCTCTAAATGCCTCCTCAGGTTCACTCCTGGAGTCCCAGCGCAGCAGGAGAAGAGGAGAACCGGACCGTCTCAGGCGGAGGTGGAGGCCATCAAGGTGAGAGTCTGGGTCAGCCTTGGTCTTCATGATGGTTTCTCAGAACCGAACCCAAGAAGTCCGGTCTGTGAAGTCATCAGAACCGGGTCAGTAACTGTTTTGTGTCCGCAGAGCGCCATCAGCAACGCCTCGTCACTGGCCGAGGTGGAGAGGCTGAAAGGAATGCTGCAGGCGGGTCAGATCCCGGGCCGAGACCTGAGACCAGGTCAGTCTGAACCAAAGTGGACTGGACTGGGTTTGACCCAGTTAGTTCCATTAGGAAAGAAAACTCCTTCAAGGAGTTCCTTTTAGTTAAAAACAGATTATTATAATCTGAGGAATCAAATATGTAGTTTTATTTTGAAAATGTGGATTTGAAAAGCTTTTATTGTGAAACTTGTTTGTTTTTGTGTGAGCAGGAGGTGGGATGGAGGAGGAGGAGGAGGAGGAGGAGCAGGAGGATGAAGCACACATGGAGGAAGACTATGGAGAGATGAATAATGGGGACCGTGCAGAGGAAGATGAAGATATGGATGAAGAGCCTCATGAGAACGGTTCCTGAACAGTTCCAGGGTTTTTGTTTTTGATTTTATTTTTTGCACATATTTACTTCAGCTGTTTTTCTTTTTGTACAATAATAAAAGTAAATATTTTACTTGATCTTTGTTTAGTGTTTCAGTTTTATGTTCAGCTTTAGACTGTGTTAGAGGACAGGCTCACCTGAGTCCACCTGAGTGGACCTGGAGACCAGACTCCCTCAGACCCCCCATCCCTGGAACCAGCTAAAAACTCCATCAGAACCTTTGAACAGAACCGCCCGTAACAAAGAAACACAAATATCAGATCCATCAGCCGAAGGTTCAGTGATTTAACTTCGTTTTCCATCAGCTGAAGGTTCAAATACAAGCCGAGGTCTGAGCGGTTTATGCTGTCATTTAAACAGCCGAAGGTTCAAAAACAAGCCGACACCCGACTGTTTGACTTCATCTTTAGACTGAAGTTTAACCAAACATAAAACCCATCGGGTCCAAAGCTGCGGGCTGGAACCACATCCTGCTCCCACATCTCCACTTAGCCTCAGGTATTGACTCAGGACTTTGGAGAACTGCTGGGTCACACAGACTCCAAACAAAACTGAGCCGCTGTGACACAGTACCTGTGGGCAAGGCAGCAAACACTGACAACCCACCGATGGGTGGAGAGGTTCCTTCTGGACCAGGATGTTCCCATCAGTCATCGTTTGTCCAAAGGGTTAGTCCTTCTGCTCTCCTGGAGTCTGGATCCAAACATTTTCAGCACCGACGTCACAAACACAAAAAGTCTCAGTTTGTGAGTCGACATTAAATCTCAGAGTCTTCATCACACGATGAAGATGGTCAGTTTGTGAGTCGACATTAAATCTCAGAGTCTTCATCACACGATGAAGATGGTCAGTTTGTGAGTCGACATTAAATCTCAGAGTCTTCATCACACGATGAAGATGGTCAGTTTGTGAGTCGACATTAAATCTCAGAGTCTTCATCACACGATGAAGATGGTCAGTTTGTGAGTCGACATTAAATCTCAGAGTCTTCATCACACGATGAAGATGGTCAGTTTGTGAGTCGACATTAAATCTCAGAGTCTTCATCACACGATGAAGATGGTCAGTTTGTGAGTCGACATTAAATCTCAGAGTCTTCATCACACGATGAAGATGGTGGCGTCTGTTTGTTGACGCAGCAACAATCCTTAAACATGTTTGTTTCATGTCTAAGTTTACAGATAATTACATTTTTCTCCAGTAAATCTCTTATTACCTCCTCCCATCCTAAAACTACCCAGTACCATCAAGTATTTCCAGAGTACATACCTAGTACGAGAAATATTCTTGGGTTCCTGCTAAAATTTTATTTAGTTTGAATAAAACATTTAGTTCAAATAAAGTTTGTGTTAAGAGTCTGAATGTCAACCAAAGCCTCAAAAACATGTTTATTGTTAAATCTGATGATTCCTGTAAAAATAAACTTTCATAGTTTACCATTTACCACACATAGTACCATTTACCACACAGTACCATTTACTACACATAGTACCATTTACCACACATAGTACCATTTACCACACATAGTACCATTTACTACACATAGTACCATTTACCACACATAGTACCATTTACCACACATAGTACCATTTACCACACATAGTACCATTTACCACACATAGTACCATTTACTACACATAGTACCATTTACTACACAT